ACAGACAAACAGAATGAAACTTTTCCGGTCAGTGGAGTAATGGGCTTCGCTAATCGCTCAGCCAATTATGTTGATTTGGATTTTTTTTTGTACAGGCTGTTGTTCACATTGGTGAGAAGGAATTCGCACTTGGTTTGACATATGTTGCTATGTCGAGGGTGAAATCATTGAAGAGCATTCTGTTTTACCCATTTTCATTTTCACGGATAAGCAAATTGAATGCAGGCAAGCTTTGAGGAATGATTTTTTGCAATATATTAGTACTAAATGTGTATTTTGAATTGAATGTGAATTCATTTGTAGGTGACAGATTTGTTGTAAGTAAAAAATGACAGAATATAGAATGAAGGTAAATAGTTTGTTCTATTTGTTTTACAAGTAAATACTGTGATATCATATGTACAAATACATTGTTTGATTGTATTAAATTAAGAAACTTTTTAAACAATGTCAAAATAAAGAAGAAATAGAATCATAAGGAACATAAGGAATGTTGCTGTAATTACTGTGGTACATTTAAACATATCGAAAGTGAAAATATATTGACTGGAGTAACGAAGAATCTCTATGCAGTATCAGCAAATGTTATGTATAAGAATCTGTATGGTGCTGCTTGGGGATCATATTCATAGTTGTGCATTGCCTATACAAACAAAAGTAATAGTAAAAACATTGTGATAAAATTAATAAGTATTATTTTGTAAATGGTTTTTTATATAATACTTACCACAAGTGCGTTCACAGCATCTTCAATTTTGCCAAAATTAATTATGAATCGTCTGGTGGATGTGGGCGTGAGCATCCTGAAAAAGTGTAGCAATTTGCAACATTAATAATTGAGAAGAACTGTAATGACAACTGAATAATAATGTATTTATGGTTGATAATGTCATGAAATTATTGTACTTACAGTGGCACTATTTTGCTCTCATCTATTGTAATTTTATTTTTCGCAAAGATATTTTGGAAATCTTTTGTTGAGCAATGAGAGCTGTATTGGAAGAGGAATTGAATAACATTTGAATTACATTGTATTAACTGTGGAATAAAGGAGCTTCTGTGATAATTAAAAGATGAACTTACGGTAAATTTGTTATATAGAGGGAAGATGTTGGTGCCTTATTTTTAGAACGGTTGACCCTCTTATGCATATTTTTGTATGACATGGACTGGTATGTATCTCCAGTTTTGTTTTTTTTTGTCAAGAGGTGTTACATTTACTGAATCGGACTTTGATAATTTCACCGACATGATGCTTCCTTTTACTGGTGTATTATCCAAATTTTAATAGCTGAAAATTAATGGTGAAATATTAGTTGATTGTTATCAGTATTGAATAAAGTATCATGTATGTAGTGGAGGATGGTTTTGTTCAAATTTTTACCTTTTGTTGCATCCAAATGAGTTTTGAACTGTATATAAGCATTGGTATCAATCTTCTTTATAGCTTGCACATCGGCATAAAGATCTGAAAACAAATGATATTTTTGTTACTGTATGCGATGGGTTGGAATGGTTAGGTGTTATTTGAAAAGGATGTATACACAACGAATGTTGGTCATTGCGTGGGTTTGACCTAAACATGGCAATTGCGTTTATGTGGTAATAAAAGACAAAACATAAAAAGAAACAGCGGAAAACAAAAGTAATGTATTACTTACCAAATAATTTAAAGAGGTCATTTATGGTGACATTCTGTGAAGGAAGTCATATAAATCAATTAGAAAAGAGATGTTTGATTGATAACACAATGTTAAAAGTAATATTTGTACCTTATTGAGCCCTGAAATATAAATACAAGGTGTTGTTGAGTTTGGTTTGTTAATATTGTTGTCAATTGCATCATAATCAGGTATTTTGATGAAGTTCCTTGGATCACTACAATAAAAATTAATGTATTCAGTTCAGAGTTACAAGTTTCACATGTAAGTTCAATTGATCGAAATGAATTTGATACTTACTGTGGTCTGAATGCTTTATATTCCTTCAATAGGGTGTTGTATTCTTGGACTATATATTCAAATTGACCGTTTGCATAAGTTCGATTGATTCGTTCAATCTCATTATCTTGTAGAGCATCTGAGGAATAAAGGAAATTTTATTAAACATTATAGCATAATTCATATTGATATATATGTGTTGAAATTACCTTTCAATCTGGTTTCAATCATGTTAAGTTTCATTGCGCACGCGGAAGATGGGCATTGATTTTGACGAGCCATGTTGATTTGAAATGCTGGGAAGAAGAAAAGGTTAGGTTAGTTGGGGAACAATTTAGACATAATTATAGGTGATGTGAATGATTTAGTGAATAATTAGTTGGGTTAAGGTGCGTAGATGAATGAATAATCAAAAATGAATTGTGGGTTTTATTACAGATAAGGTAGCGATTCGGAAATAGTATGGCTGTTAGGGTGCAGTTGTGGGTGTGACATTATCCGATGAAGTCCGAATGGTTTTGAAGAAGCTCACATCAGGAATCATGTAGTTTTTTCCATGATGGATTAAAAATCATGTGTTTTATGATATTGTAGTATTGGGGTACGGGAGCCAAATCAGTGTGAACAACAGATCACATGAGTGGAGAATGGCCACGAGCTCCTGGCTCGCACCTCTATTTATTCAGTGTTCGGCATAACAAAGGGAAGAACAAAGGCGATCGTAAAACAATTAAATGGTTCTAATTAGGGTTGTAGACTGTAGATGTCGCTACCATAGTGATCACTAAGGCCGTGACTGGAAGGTTCCTGGCCTGGTGGATGAAATGGACCAGGGCTTGCTCGACGCGGTCGTACATGCCTTTCTTAAGCCTCTTTCGCCCCTTGCCTCCCATAAGCATCTCGTTTTCAGTCTTCTTTCTGTTCTTGAGAATGGAATTCAGTGAACTCCGAGAAATGTTCAGTTTCTTCGCAAGCGCAGTCTTCGGAAGTCCAGGGTGTGCGTCGTACTCCTTTATCACCTGGAACTTCGCTTCGACGGTGAAGGTAGACCGCTTTCCTGGCGGGGCATGTCCCTTAACATGTGCCTTCGGCGGCATGATCCTGACTCCGCACCCTCCGCACGCAACTTGCACTACTGCGAGACCGAGTGGCACGGCGCAACGCAACAACGGACTAGGCCCAACACTGACTGAAGCCAGCGACGTGAACGCCCACCCCCACCCCTCTCTGCCGGCCTGCTCTCGGCTCGCTCACCCCAAGATTCCTGGAACTCAGGGCGGCTCGGCGGGTTGTAGTGGTGTTGGTTGCAACCAACCAGCGTCAAGACGCTTTGTTTTACGAGTTGTAAGACGCTTCATGCTGTTTACCAGTAGCGGTCGCGATACCAATGAACAAACGCCACTTCAGCACTCTGACCCTCCTTTATTTTATTTTTTTAAAGGGGCACAGTGACATGCTGCTAGCGACACTACCCGCTCTTTTCTTGCGACCCCACCCCCATCCACCCCTCCTCCTGTCCCTGATCGTCTGCTAGCGTCGAGTCTCAGCGGACAGCTCTTCCCGAATAATCACATTGACTTTTTGTACATTCTTGCTGCATAAATGACGCTATATCGGAGGGAAATGCTGTAAAATGTCGACGCTAAACGCGGGATGACGCTATATGCGGCTGACACTAAATACGGGATTTTTTAACACTGTAAAGGCCTGTTTTTCATCGGTGAAACGGAATTCCGACGCTAAATGCGGCTTGACACTATATACGGCTGACACTATATCGAGCTTATACTGTACTTGCAACAAGAATCCTGTTGGCTGCCAACCACGCAGCATTATTTTGTCTCTGGAGAAGCATATTCTTCAAGTAAGGGCTCGATTCACCATCGTCATCCTCATCATCACTGTTGACTATTGGAACTGCTGCTTTCCTCTTCTTAGGTTTTTGATTTCTGTAAAATTAAACAAACATGAAAACAAACAGAATTGTACTACATAAGAATAATCATTTGTTAAAAACTATTTCATCAGACATAGTGAAAATGTACTATGACCATCTTACCTTCTGGAAGCATGTGGGACTTCATTTTCCTTGCTGCCCTCTCCAGTTGAGTTGCTGGCAGTATTAGAAGTTGCACTTGGAAGTGAGGTATCAAAACCTGATAAAACAATTAAATTATAACAGCAAGAACAATACTGACATAACATTAGGACCTATCTACGGAGAGATTTAAGCTAGTAGTAGTTTTGTAGTTATTTACATACCAATAGAGTTGAGGTAACTAGTCTCAGCGGCTTTCAAATCCGTGTCAGGTAGATTGCTATTGTTGATAAGAGGAGGACGTCCACGTTGAGGCTGCGAACTGACAGTGACAATAGACTGACTTTGAAGCTGTGAATTGGCCGTGGCAATAGACTGAAGTTGAGGCTGCGAACTGGCAGTGGCAATAGTCTAACAGAAAAATAGAGAAGAGCAATATTATTTTCCAGCTACAAACACTAATGGTCTTGTTTCTCGCATGGCAAAAAGCAGGTGCTGACAAGAAAATTTGTAAACAAAAAGTGATTCTAGATAACAGCACAGTATAGAAACTTCCTTTCCCCATAATTGGTCTATCGAGTTTTGCAAGTTAAGCCTTTACCAATTTGATGCCACCACGTTCTAAGGCAAATGAAAAATAAATTCAAGTCCAGATGGAACGAAGATAGACTGTCATTATATAACAATAAGAGGGAAGGCCAAAATCAAAACAGTCATATTTAATAAAAAGGCAACAAAATATTGATCTAAGAATGAGGATATATGACCATCTAAACTTCTAGAGTATTGTGTGAGGCATTAACTGAGAAAGAATAAGTTACAAAGCTTTCAATGATTCCACCAGTCGACATCATACCCACCTCATCGACATTATCTTGGAGTGCAAACTCCAAGGGATAGAAAGTGCCAATGTCACGTAGCTCAGTGCTCTCGTCAAACTCCATGAAACCATTTGCAGATCCGTTTCCATTACTAAAGAAATACCTCAAAAAATGTGGTTTAGAGGCAAATTTTTTAAGTTTTGGATCCGATATGAGTGTGTTTAACACTGCAGAGCTTACGGCATCATACAATGTTTCACCATGTCGCACGGAATATTTCACAAGTTTTTTCCTTTCACCAAATAACACGACAAAGGAGGACATTCTAAATTTAAAAAATCAACTTTAATCAGAATAATAATGCCTAAATATCACTCAGGAAAACTGGAGGCGCTGTAGGTTATGGCGGGAACAGGACGAGAACCTTTCAATCTCTTTCGCCACGAACAAACCACAGCCTTGGCGGCGACACGCTGTCGGAAAATGACCGCTTGGGGTGTGTTCTAAAAAACAACGAAAAGA